CTATAATATAATACATGGCAATTATGTTGTACTTATTCTGAATATTAGCAGCTTTTGGGGGCCAAAGCCCCAAATATTTCAGGGCCTTTGTATATCATAGTTCGACAAGCTAACTACATAGTCATGACTGTTCTATCTGAATAAGAAATTCCATATTACTGCTCACGATAAGCATTTGATGAAAAACACAGTCATTTTAAACAAAGAACCCAACATAAACAAACGAAAAATCAAGGAATCCATCTTAATTGAACAAAACAACCCCACTCTAAACCAACACCCCGGGGTGCCTAGATACCTCTTCTAAGTTTTACAACAGTTCCGGTCATGTGACTTCTTTGTTCAATACTGTATATATATATCCGTGTAAGTGTAAATTACTTGCACCTGATGATGACAAAACCTTGTCGAAACGTTGTACATTTGCTGTTATGTTAAACTTATATTAAAGTTTTTCTTCATTACCCATTCAATCCGTCTCCAACCATTATATGTCTTGACTGTATCTAACTAGGATATGAAATAAGGTCAGTACTGGATATGGCAGATTTTCCATAAGTGAAACTGAAACTCTGTTACTTGTATAAGTACGAATATCTGGGACATTTTGGTAAACAACAGTTTATCTTTCAAAAATACAACCAAAAGGTTATATTGTTCTACCACTAGATATCACAGTTAATAACGGTTGGAGACGGCTTGAATGGGTAATGAAGAAAAACTTTAATATAAGTTTAACATAACAGCAAATGTACAACGTTTCTACAAGGTTTTGTCATCATCAGGTACCATTATTAGTCTCAAAGTGGGTTCCTCGTTATCGAATTAAATATCACAGTTGTATGCAAAGTTATAGCCATAAAACAAAAGTTTACGATGATTCAAATGCATTAAATCATCAGTTAGGTATCCATGCTGTAAACGATATTAATCATTATAACTCGATGGCGGGAAACGAAACGAGATAAAAATTATTATAATAAAACTAGTGTATAGCCCGTCAAAAATGACGCGGGTAAAGAAAACTGTAAATGTTGCTATAAATTAAGTAACGAAAATCATAGGGAGAAGGAACCTTACACTATATTCAGAATGTAACAATAACACCTCAGTTTTAATGAAGACGGGTGGATTTCGTGATTTAACAAAAAAAAAAAGAATATAATATGAATTGAAAAACGTAAATAACTTTATTTAATAAAGTTTCCTCTGTTTAGATTTCTTTAATTGCGTAATTTAAATACTATGCGTTTGCACTTATACACATGTAACTAAATGTTATCTGACTGTAACGTTAGTAATAGTATCAGTAGGCCTATTTGTAGTTTAATTGAAGTATTAGGTCTGATAGTAATACATAAATATGTAAACGTAACGTAAGCCTAAACTGAAACACTACTTAATTGAAATCCTTGGTAACTTTTATTTAGTGTTAGTCTACAACTCAATGTCAAAAAAACTTAGATGTTCATTAAACAACTGAAAACATATAAATAAAATGTTATTTAACTTATCACGGTGAGATAAGAGAGCCTAAGGTACTACTATTTGTTTTGTAATTAAGCCTAAAGTGAAAACGTTGTGTGCGATAACTTACCCTAGGCCCAAGTGCATAAAACTTCTCACGAAAGAAAAAATATCAATTCTAAATCTAAATAATTAATGAATTGAACTATTTTGTTGTATTGTCATCGAAGTTATCAAAAAATGAAAGAATAAGAACAAACCTTTTTAACAAATCAACGTATATATTAAGCATTCAACATAAACACCATAGTTGGCCTAACAACATCCGTTTGTAGTTTTGTTGTTAAGCAACGATGCAAATTGTAGACTATTGACAGAAAAGGTGCGTGACACGGAGAAAGAAAATGCTTATTATATATATATATATTAATATACGTACAACAAGGTAAGAAATTAAACTGACCCTGTATTTTTTAAGAAGCCATTGATTCCTCCCCTCCTAAATTCTTGTCAGGTGTGTGTTGACCTTCTCTACTGCTGTCAGAAACTCATTCCATATGCTAATCAACTTGTTGGGAAATCAAAACTGTCTTAACTGAAGCCCTAGCTTGTCTTTCCCAAATCATTTGCTTCTGTTATGTTGTCTTTAGAACAAAGCGCAAAGAAATTAGAAGTCTTTATTCCCTGGATAATCTTGTAAACTTCAATAAGAAGGAATCTTAATCTGTCCCAAAATGAAAACACTTCCATTCTCAGAATATCCTTTTATTCCCTCTCTGAATTCTTTTCACTAAGTCAGTATCCTTTCTTAGTTAAGGAAACCATAACTATACATAGTATTTCAAGTGAGGCATAACTAGGGTATTGTTAAGAGAGAGAGGCTTACTTCTTTTAGCTTGTAATCGGCATGTCTATAAATACATTCTGTTAGCTTTACTACTGTGGTTATGAAGACACACCATGCATTTTCTACCTTCTTATTTTAATATAGAAATTTATTCTAAATATATACAGTTTTTGCATAATACATGGTTCAAAATACTGTTAAGCTGATTTTGTTATAGCTACCTTTGTTTCTTTGTTGTTCTCTATATATAATATCTTCTCTGTCCATGGGAAATATTGCTGTAACACTATATATTGTGCAAGAATATAGAGGCCAGCAGCCTTAACTGGTAGGACAGTTATCTGGAGGTTAAAGCCTCTCCTAAATTGAATGAGAATGACCAGTAATGAGGTAGACTTAGTTACTGTTTCTAAATCTGATGTTTTCCCATTAGATTTAAACATTATCATGCAGGATCTCCAGTGATGGGAAGTCTGCTAGACAGAAACTACTATCAGGTCAATTCACAAGTCCAGTAGAAAGCAACCATCAAGCTTCCTAACCTCTAGATGGAAACTGCTAGCAGGTCAATTCACAAGTCCAGTAGAAAGCAACCATCAAGCTTCCTAACCCAATTACACAAGCTGTGTTTGTTCATTGATTTAAATAAAGATTTATTTAATTTTGTGTATGGTTGTTTGTTATGGATTTCGCGCAAAGGTACACGAGGGCTATCTGCACTAGCCGTCCCTAATTTAGCAGTGTAAGACTAGAGGGAAGGCAGCTGGTCATCACCACCCACCGCCAACTCTTGGGCTACTCTTTTACCAACGAATAGTGGGATTTACCGTCACATTATAATGCCTCCATGGCTGAGAGGGTGAGCATGTTTGGTGGGACGGGGATTCGAACCCGCGATCCACAGATTGCAAGTCGAGCACCCTAACCACCTTGCCATGCCAAGCCTACTTTTTTTTTTTTGTGTGTGTGTAACACATCATGTCCAGTCTGTTTATTTAGAGTTTAGTTCCACCTGGCCATGCCGGGCCTACTTTTTTATTATTTTTTTTGTGTAACACATCATGTCCAGTCTGTTTATTTAGAGTTTAGTTAAATACAGTATCACTTTGTAATGTATCCCATTTATCCTCATGTTGTAAAACAGATAAAGCTAATACTCCGTTTAACCTGAGAATACTAGCCCAACAGTATTGCTTCAATGGTTTGAATGACTTATCTTTGCAAAAATCCCTTTTTTCAGTCATTCTGTTTAGTGGGTTCCCATCTATATCAAATTTGTGATCAAATTATGATAACCCAAATGTATTATCTTGCACATTCTATAATGGGAGAACATTTGACAACTATTTGTCCAACTTAATTGATCCAAGTCATTCTGTAATATCTCAACATTCCCAATATGGCTATAAAATACCCAATAATTTAATGTCATCAGCACTTTAACAAGTATGCCCCTATCAGTTTCTTAAATGTAATTAAGAAAAATCAAAGGTCCAAATACTAACCACTAATAACAAGGGTCTAGTTTGATTTCCCACATATTAATAACAACTTTTTTTTTCTCTCATGAAGCCACTCTACTATACAATAACTAGTCTTTCCACAACCCCCACTGATTTGATTTCCACAACCTCCACTGATTTGATTTCCACAACCCCAATTGATTTGATTTCCACAACCCCCACTGATTTGATTTTCTAAATCTTCTGTGGAATTTTGTCAAAAGCTTTTAGAAAATCTTAGTACCCAAAACCTACACTCTTTCTGTAATCCAGTTAAGTAGGTATACTAAATCCTCAAAAAAATAAAATAAAGATGAAAGATACAATTTCCCTTCACCGAATCTGTGATAATTTTCTTTTATGATGATAACCTATTTCACTAACTGATTTTACAAAGCTTCATTTTTCAGACTGTCTAGAACTTTTTCCAACCAGAGAAATACCAACTCTTAGTACTTCCCTTAAAAATAAGAGTAACATTAGACACTCTCCAGCTTTCTGACGCTTGCTAAAGTAGGTAACTTGCTTTTATCAAAATTAATATTAATTATTTTTAATGACTCGTTTTTTGCAGAACACCAAGAGACTGATGTTTCTTATTCCTTTTTTTATTATAAATTTTGTATTAGATGGCAAATTTTTCATAGGGTGGAGGTAATGATTGCTGGAATGAAAGTATAATGAAGATAAAATTGTTAACTTTTAATTATTTTAGTACAGTTTATTTTCAACCTACAATATCATAATTTTAATGCAGTGTTTTTCACTTATTACACAACTGTTGAGTTGAAATATTTTGTTGTTCTTTGAACTATTCTACATTGCTGGTAGTTGAACAGTTGTGCAGGTATAGTAAATTATTTTCAAACTTATGATAGTCTGAAGTTTCATCTTACAAACAATGTGGACAATTTGTATTGAGATTAAATATTTTTATCTTTTGAAATTTGTCAAACTTGAAAGCTCTGCAATGTTGTTAAATGTTTTTAATGACTAAGTCAAGTGTTTTGATTTCTAGGATCCTGTTCGACCCGTGTCATACAAAACCAAAGACTCTGCCACTTTCATTACAAGTGAAAGTAACAATGAGAGCTATGTACCTACACCATACGATCCTATTAAGGTGAACAATTCTCTTTGTTAAAGTATAAGAACTTTTGGAAATGTAATATATAATAACTTCGCAGCTGTGATGATAATTAAGATTTGTATTTGTTTGATAATTTATCTTCATAAACAAATCTTATAGCATTACATTCTATGTGATAAATTAGTTAATGGTTAGAAAATATTATAATGAATATATGAATTAATGTAAGGTCTGTTTTAACACTGCTTCCTGTGGTAAATTCAAGGTTTTTAGTATTTGTATTCTCACTCCATAGCATTTAATGCTGAAACATGGTTCTCAAAAGAAATCTAAGAAAAGTGAATTCTTAAATGGAAATTTGGTATTTGAAGGTTATTATATTCTGGTAATAGAAATTTTCATGACCTGAGTTAAGTAATTTACTTCCAGTTTTAAATGTTACAATCCTATAACTGTGAATTGCTAATCAGAATAACCTGGTTTAAATTAGAAGTTTATAAGAACATGAGAAAAGACAGACTAGATGTTCACCTGAACCACAAAAACAAGAAGTCAAACTAACAGTACAACATAATCAGGTCAACTCCACACATTTGACCATCACACTAACAGTACAACATCATCAGGTCAAATCCACACATTTGACCATCAAACTAACAGTACAACATCATCAGGTTACATCCACATATCTGACCATCAAACTAACAGTACATCATCATCAGATCACATCCACATATTTGACCATCAAACTAACGGTACAACATCATCAGGTCACATCCACATATTTGACCATCAAACTAACAATACAACATCATCAGGTCACATCCACATATCTGACCATCAAACTAATGGTACAACATCATCAGGTCACATCCACATATCTGACCATCAAACTAACGGTACAACATCATCAGGTCACATCCACATATCTGACCATCAAACTAATAGTACAACATCATCAGGTCACATCCACATATCTTACCATCAAACTAACGGTACAACATCATCAGGCAAATCAGTTAGTGAATCTTCTTATCCACATACTTATCCTTCATACTAACATTGTGGTATATCATCAGGCAAAACATTCAATGAACTTACAACTAAGTAAAAAAGTAATTTGGTTTAAAGGCAAAAGCTACTTTGAATTGAATGAGGTCTATCCACAGAAACATAAACATGACCCTATATGGCAGTTATACTTATATTTGTGATTAGCTGGCAGTAATTACTCATTCCAAAATGCTATTATAAATGTATCCCAACATTACCTATAGAATTTATTGATTAAATGACAGTACTGAGTGATTATATCCATACTATGTATTGGGGGGGACCTGATAAACTTAAGAATTGCTGACAAGGGGGGAGACATACAATTAAATTTCTTTAAACTAAAGAGCAGGAGGGGGGTATATATTGAAGTTATGCCACTGATATACACATTAATTTACAAATAAACTATTAAACAACACTTGTCAAAACTCTTACAAATTGTTCTCAGAAGTTGATCAAAGATAAGCAGCTATAAAATTACCAAAGGTTAAAAGTGTAAGAAAAAATTTTAACAATAAATTATGAGCTTGAACCAGAAATAATTAGGCCTCATTTGAACTATTGAATACTGTTACCTGGAAAAGGATATTGAATTATCCAAAAGAATTCAGAGGAGGACTACTAGGATGAATCTGAGGATGAAAGATTATCTTATAGAGATAGATTAAGATCTCTTAAATGATGGAGGTGACTTACAAGATTATCCAGAAGAGTGATAAAATAAAGGACTCTTGATTTCTTTGTTCTGTATTCTGAAGGCTTTAGGACAGGAGGATACAAGCTTGAAAAAGATAGACTGAGCTCCAATTAAGACAGTTTTATTCTTTCTAACACTGTGATTTTCTTATAGAATAGGTTGCTGTTGGTAGTCGTGGAAACCCTTCTGAAGGGTGGGTGAGAAGTGACAGCTGTGAAGGATCAAATGGTCCCTTGTTGTCCATATGTTTTGTCCAGAACACCATGTTACTTGTTTTAGTAAGTGGTATGTAGGTTGTTCAGAATGCTCCATGATGGCTTATATACCACATTAAACATTTTGATATTTGTATTGGTGCCCATATTTATTACTTCTGTTATGCAAGTAATTTGGTGTTATTTACAAGTTATGCTTATTCTTTGTAGGCTGGCCCGACCCCTACGTCTGATCCTATTGATGTAGATTTGAACACAGGTGAACAACAACCAGAGAGAGGTCAGTGGGGGAGCAAGGCTGAGTTCATCTTGTCATGTGTAGGGCTGTCAGTAGGTATTGGAAACGTGTGGAGATTTCCCTATTTGGCCTACCAAAATGGTGGAGGTTTGTTCATTATATTTATTTTGTAATAAGTGTGATCTTTGTTCAATTAAATAATAACATCATAAACAACTGAATAATTCAATATAGCAAAATAATTGTCAAAATGCTTCATGTGCAGTTGTTGGAAGATGTTTTCAAAAATTACATTTTATGATATATATGTATATAGACCCACTCTTGATAAACTCAATGAAATCATGTCACAGACACATGTACAATTAAAAATGTTACATTGTGTTAGATATATTCATGAGTTGTATTAAGTGTATAGAATATTCATAAGATTTATTTCCAAAGCTTTATTTGTTGTGAGAGAAAATTAATTT